GTGTGTGTGTGTGTGTGTGTGTGTGTGTGTGTGTGTGTGTGTTTGAACGTGTGTGGGCACATACATGTGTATACATATATGCATGTGTGTGTGTGTGTGTGTGTGTGTGTGTGTGTAGGCCAAAAGTTGACATCAGAAGTCTTCCCTGATTGCCTATTTTTCGAGGCAGGGTATCTAGTTGAACCCAGAGCTCACCAGCTTGGTTAGTCTAGCCTTCTCCTGTCTCTGTTTTTTGGGTGCTGGTTACAAATAGGCTGCTGTGCTCACATGGAATTTGTGTGGATTCTGGGGATCCGAACTCTGAGCCATCTCCCCAGCCCGCTCAGATTTCTAACTGGCTTCACCTGGAGTATCTCCCCTGCCCTTCAGCTTTCCTTCACCAAGGGCAGCCACCAGAGCAATGCTTTTTCAGTTACAATGTGTTATCAAATAAAAATCTAATCATGCTCCAATCTAGCTCAAAAGTCCTTCATTGGCCATCGAAATAGGCTGATTATTCTGAGGGCTTACAAGAACTGCAGCACCAGGAAATATACGAGTGGAACTACAACATGACGTTAGATGCAGTTATTCCGTTTGAACATTCTCAACCTTCCTAATGCTGCGACCCTTTAATAATACAGTTCTTCATGCTGTGGTGACCCCTCCCAACCATAAAATTATTTTCGTTGCTACTTAATAATTGTAGTTTTGCTACTGTTATGAATCATAATGTAAATATCTGTGTTTTCCAATTAGCTTAGGTGACCCCCGTGAAAGGGTCATTCAACCTTCAAAGGGGTGTTGACCCACAGGTTGAGAACCACTGCATTAGAGGACTTCTGATATAATGTTCATTCCAAAGCTGGCCTTACCTTATACTAACAGTACCCCCAAAGTAGCAGAGACTTTCCTAAACAGCACCCACAAATGCTGCCAGAACCGGAACAGCTAAAGCACCCTTTGTCTTGGTTTATCCCAAGCCACCAGTACAGCTCACAGGCTGTAGTGCAGAGAATGCCCAGTGTTTGTTGGATGCATAGTGATTGAGAGATAATGGTTCCAATGGACAGTGCACTGGTTCCTCCAGGGTAACATGGGGGCAAAGCAGACCGTCCCTTCCTGTCTAACGAGGGTTAGGAGAGCCGCGGCTGGGGGAGGAGCCACCCAGGAGGCAGACCTTGAGCTGTCTGGTGAGAGGGCAGAGCACAGAAGAAGCAGAAACAGGGCTTCAGAGTGAGCTTGCTTCTTGAGTTCCCAGAGCCGGGAGACCCTGATGAAATTAGGATTCCTTCAGTCTTCAGTGGCAGGAGGTCAGGGAAAAGAGTGATTTCACTGGTTCGGGTTACTGAAAAGTCTGGGGTTTTGATCTGGTTGTAGTAGAACAAAGGATGATATGATCTCTCCTCCATGCCTCCCGACCATTTTCCTACGTTGGCTTCATGTCCCATCAGCTCTGCAGATTCAGGAATGGGAGCAGGACCTGTTTTCTCCCGCCAAAGTCTCAGGGCTGAAAGCTGTGTATGGTGGTGGCTCACACCTGTAATCCCAGCACTTTGAAGGTTAGGGGTAGAACTGGTCCAAGTTTGAGACCAGCCTGGGCTGATAATGAGACCCTGTCTTCCAAAACAAGACAAATGCATCTGGGGGACATCGCCCAGGAGGTAAAGTACTTGCAATGGAGGCCTGAGGACCTGAGTTTGGATTGATAGTACCCACGTGCAAAGGTAAGCGTGTTAGCACACATCTATAACACCAGCACTAGGGAAACAGACCGGAGGACCCCGGGGCTCACTGGCCAACCAGCCTAGCCAAATTAGTGAGCTCCAGTTTGAGTGAGAGATCCTGTCTCAAAAAATAAGTTGGAGAATGATGGAAGAAGACACACAATACTAACCTTGTCTATACATCCACGCGTGTGCTACGTGCAAGGTAAGATGCACCTGAACCCTACGATCTAAACATGGGAGAGGCGAAGTTCCCAGAGTGGGTCCAGGAGCAGCTACTGGAAGAATCGGAATGATTCCAGGGCAGGCACGTCATGAATCCCAGCACAATGGTTGGCTGAGGCAGGGTTTGACCTGTTCGGAGATGGGTACAACTCACAGCATCCTAACTGATGCCAGTGCTGGTCCATGGACCACCCTTTCCAGCAAAGAGCACACTACCTGGAGTGGCCACCTCCCTCGGAGTCACTTAGGCTGAGGCTGGCCTACAGGCTGTCTTTCCGGTGGCTATTCTTTTACTCACTGTAGATCTCATATTAGCTGTTCTCTCTATGCAGAATATTTTCCCTCAAAATTCCCTCTTCATCTAAGTACCATTTTCAAGATTTTTATCTCCTTCCACCTGTGAGTAATATTTCCTCACTGGATGAAGCTAAGGTTACAATTCTTCTTCTTCAACCCAAGCCTTCTGTAATTGAAACTTGTGAATATCAACCTGGTCGAATTGTAAAACACACTTAATCATTCATGAGTTGGATAAACTCTGCTATGTTCAATTGATTTGCTGACAAACCCACAGCCTGAGTTTCAACTTTTTTTTTTCTCTCCAGAGTCAGAGGTTGAGACAGGGTCTGGCCACCTAGCCTTGGCTGGTCTGGTACTCACTATGTAGACCAGGTGGGCTTTGAATGTGAGGGAGCCCTCCTGACTCAGCCTCTTGAGTGCTGGATTATAGGACACCACACCCAGATTTCAACTTGGATGCTTACATTGTGTCCTTAGTTTTAGGAGGTCAGAGGGTACGGAAATAATTTTTTTCTTCTTGGCATAGCACCCGGGAGTCAGGTGCTGGTCAGTTTTCACTGTGTCAATGGTGTTTTTGTGTGTAAACATGTATATACGTTCATGTGTGAGTACATGTGTGTGCCAAGTCCTGGGGTTGATGTTGAGTGTCTTTCTCAAGCCTTATTTTTTGTTTGAAGAGTTATATTTTTAACTATGGATGTGTGTGTGTGTAGGCGGTATGCCCACACGATGCAGGTTCCACGGATACCAGAAACCGTGGGATCCCTTGGAGCTGAAGTTGCAAGTGTGCCATTACAGATGTCTGTGAGTCCCCCCACTGAGTGATGGGAACTGCACTCAGGTCCTCTGGAAGGACAGTTTGCACTCTTCACCATCCAGCCATCTCTCTAGCCCATCCACTTTACTTTTTGAGACAGAGAGGGTCTGTCCCTGAGCCTGGAGCTTGCGATTTGGCTAGATTCACCGGCTAGCAAACACAAGCCCTGGGTATTCTGTCTCTGCTGTGATCGTGGTTTTTGGGGTTTTTTTTTGTTTGTTTGTTTTTTGTGGGTGGGTGCTGGGGGATTGAACTTAAGGACCCATGCTTGTGCAGTGAGCACTTTCCTGACTGAGCCACCTCTCCAGCCCTCAAATGTGTTTTAAATCCTGGAGGCTTTGCCATCAGGGCATCCATATTGGAAGAAATCATGGACTTTACCACCAGAAAAACATCCATATTTAACGCTTTGGACCAACCATCTGTGTAACTGAGGCCTCTAGCTTCCGACATTTCTCAAATCTTTAAGCTTCTCTGGGCCTCAATGCTCTGGCTAGTTATAGTTTGGGTGTTTTACCAATGTCTTCTCCCCAAATGGTGCCCAACTGAGGTTAGCACACCTTCATCTGTACCATGTGGGTAACTCAGAACCTGGGGTAAGATACCTGATCTCTAAACCGTATGGAGCTATCGTGTCTATTACCTCATAGTCATGGTAGAAGTCGAAGGAATCATAAAGTATATCATAACTGAGAGTAGCAAAAAAAAATTGAAAATAAAAGTGAGGTAGGATGACTCAGCGTGAGGGGGAATATTAAGCCTTCTACATACTGAAAAAGATAGTATCCACTTGGTCCCCCCAAACCTTCAGTCAGTAGTATCTGTCTTCTATTTCCACCCCAGGTCCTAGAAGAATCACCAATGCACAGCTCTCACATGTTATGTGTATAACCCTATTTGCCCCCTAGTATGTTACTCTTGGCTAGATAAAGCTGTCTTCAATTATATTAATTTATCTCCTAATTTAATTTGTCACAAAACACATTGGTTCAGGAGTTTATCACGTTCCACACGCACAGCTTCCCTGTGGGAAGCACGGAATTGCAACCTTGTCTGCACAATTGTTCCCCGCGTTTGAAATGGATTCTTTCAATTCTCATGAACTTATCCTTCAAGCGGGGTACACATTTGCACCCTGAGCCTGAAGTCTCTGCAGGAACGTGTAAAAGCTCAAACAGCATCCATCTCACAAAGCTGAGATCAGGAGCTCTGCGGGTGGGGGATACGGAAGTTTTGTTCTGATCATTCCTGGACAGCCTTTAGTACCGCCCAGACCTCCGTACAGGCTAATGTCATAAATTGCCCGAGTGCATCTGCCTAGATCCGGAATTCCTTCCTTTCTGAGAGACCTTTTCCCAGGCAGCTGGGTTACTGCTGGCTAGGGCTTTCTGGCCACGCCCATGTCCTGGTCATATTTTACTTTTTTGGGTTCCGGCGGATGCCATCTGGCTAGAACCCTGGCGAGAAACTTTAAAGTTAGACTACAGTCACCCCCTACTCCTCATACCCTCCTCTACCCAACCCCTAAAGCCCAAGGCTTGTTGGAGACTGGCAGGAACAGGCAGAGAGAGAGAAATCGGGGACGGAGAGCTCCGGTGTTCCCGCGGTGTGGGTCCCCGGCCGGCGATCGGCCAGTGTCCAGTGCCCGGTGCGGTCCTGGGTCAGGCGGGAAGGCCGTGGTGCTGGGTTTGGTCCGGGGCCGGCCTCGCGGTGCAGCCGGCGCAGAGCGGGGACCCTGGGGCCAGCGGAGCAAGAACGGCTTCCAGCGGGGTTGGGCGAGCGAGCGAGTCCGGGCGGGCGTCGGTGAGCGTAAGGGCCCCCCGGTTCAGCGCCTCCCGGCTCCGGGCTCCTCCTCCCGCCGGCCGCGGCCCCGGCTGCGTCGCTCCGCCACTCCCCGCCCCGCGCCGCCGCCCCGCCCTCGCCGCCGCCCGGCCTCTCTCGCCCAACCCCACTGCAAGCCGGCCCCAGGCCGCCTCGCCGCCGCCCGGCCTCGCTGCGCGCCACCATGGACAGTCCCGTTTTCCCCTGGTAAAGATGGCGGTGCGCGATCGCTGCAACCTTTAGACTAATGACTGTCCGAAACATCGCCTCCATCTGTAATATGGTGAGTGGCCGCCGAGCCTCCGGGGGTCGCGCCTGCGGCGAGCCAGGCAAAGAAAGGGAACCCCCGGGCTGGAGCTGCACGCGCGCCGTGGCCGGAGGGGCCGCGCGGCCAGAAGTTCCCGGCCCCCGGGGGCTGGCCCGGCTGCCCGCAGTCCCCCTCCCGCCTCTGTCCCAGCTGGGGACCTAGTAGATCCCGGGGATCCCCAGGGCGGCCCCATGCCCCCGCCCTCTAGCTGCGGTGCGGGCGGTGGGTGGGGGTGAAGGGCTCGCGGTGGCCGCACACCGATGTCCCAGGGAAGGACCGGGAGGGTACGAGTCCGGAGAGGGACATCATCCTCCTGGTGCAGTAAATAAGCCCTCGTTGGACTCCCTGACTGTCCCCGTCTCCTTTTGGAGTTCAGCCTCGATTGTATTTAAGATTCACTTTGCAGCAGCAGTGCTCTTATCAGGAGAAATTGGATAGACATACAAGCTGTAGGGGAAAAAAAAAATCCAAGTGCAGAATCTGGTTAGAGAGGCGAAGTAAAGCCGGGTATGGGGAAGCACTGCAATTTGTTCTGGAGGCCTCAGTTTCCCCCACCTGCAGGAGAGAGTGTATGGCAGTAACATTTGCAGGCCCTGGGAGTGAGGCGGCTGTGGGTGTGAGGAAGTCTGCAGGGGCCATCCTTCCCCGCCTCCTCTCCACTTAGCTTGGGCACTGCCTGGCATGTCACTGTGCTGATGGGCTTGGGGGGGTGGGGCATGACCCAGGGGGCACTTCAATTTGAATTTTTCCCCACTACTTTCCTGCCCTGTTTAGTTTTCTTGGGACCCATTTCCAGCCTTTCGGTCCCCTGGATATCCTCAGCAGGCACCCCTACTTGTGAGATCCTTAGAGAGGTCAGTTTGGAGTAAGGCATTACCTACTGGTGTGGGGCTTGAGGGTATGTGCTCTGCTTATACTCTATCCTCTCCCCCTTCTGAGCCCCTTCAAGCTGGAACACTGGTGTTTTTGCCATCTTGGGGAATCCTTCCCAACCCCACTCCTCCCCAAGATAGATAGTAATACTAGCCCCTAAAGGGAATCTGAGGAGGCCTGATTAAGAAGGCTTTAGGTAAGGTGATCTGGCTGCCCTTCCCCCATCACAGTCTTTTAAATCTTCTGTCCCACATTCTGTTGCAAGATCAACACATGGCACAGAGCATTAAGGAGCCATGTGTTAGCTCAGGTGGAGACCTGCTGTGGCTGGCTCCAGCTTTCAGCACTGGCAAAGGCCTTGCCAGCGGGGCAAAGGCAGGAGCTCCCGGAGTGATGCCTGTCTGCTTGGTGGTACAGGGCTCCTTAGATGATGGCAGTGGCTCCTGCAGCCTTGACATTTCCCCTTTCTGCTTGAAGACACAGGTTTCCTGCTTCTTCCTGTCCAGTGGCATTAATGTCGCTGGATGCCTCCGGAAGACAATGCGTTTCTTCTCAGAGTCTTTGCTGTGACCCAGCTCCTGGGGCGAACTGTGAAACCGCAGTGGCTTGAATGCTGTTTTTCCCGCCTGTGGGGGTGGCCCTCAGGCCCACAGGCTCCTGAGACTCGGTGGCTGCTTGTGTGCGGGTCTTGTCCAGTTTGTATTCAGTGACACTTCTCAGTATTGAAGCAGAGTGGAAACTCAAGAGCTAGCGTGTCCCAAGAGGACATCTGCTTCCGGCTTGTTCTTGCCCTTGCTGTAGCTAGGACTTCTTGGCACACCTGGAGAGAATGTCACAACCTGTTTTCAGTGAAACTCAGCCAGAAAGGCAAGCTTCTGGGAGGGCATGAGAGGAATGGGCAATATTGTGTCCATAGAATCAACACTTCCTCTGGTGACCTAAAAGGTACTGAGTTAAGGCCCTTACCCAGCCCCCCCAACCCCTTCCCCTAGTGAAGGAAATCTACTATCTTCCTGTTCTGTGGAGAGATGTTTGCATTCTAAGGCCAGACTCTAGCTTCAATCCTGCTTAGGTATTTATCTGTGGCTTGTGTTTTTGAGGCAGTCTCTCAAGCCCAGGTAGACCTCCAGCCTGAGATTGCCTTAAGTACTGGATGACAGGTGTGTTCTTCGTCATCCAGCTCGCAAGTAGGTCCTGCTTCGAGCACACACCAGCTTTGCGTCCTTGAGCATGGCACTTTTTGTACCTTGGTGTGTATTTGTAGAAATGGGCCGACACTGGTTACGTTGAGTGAGTCACTGGGGCTCAGGGCCCAGGACATAGTAAGTTCTCAGAGACTTCCAGCTGCTCCGCTCGCTCAGCACCTTCTCCCTTGTTACGATGCTGCCTTCCAGTCGTTGAAGGGGCCATGGAAATCGTGTCTTCTCCTACCCAAACAGAAACAACCCGTAGGGTCACTTATGCAAAGCAGGCTGAACAACACTATAGCGAAGCTGGGGTGGGAACTGGAAGCCCCGCCCCTTATAAAAAGCTGCTCAGGTCGCTTCTGCTCCTCCTCCCTTTCTCATTTCCCAGAGGAAAAGGGTGGTGATGAGGAGACTGCTGGACTGCTGCTGTCTCTGTCCCCACAGTGAGATAAAGGCTCACTGTACCTCCGTGTAGAGACCTCACTGGATGATGAATTGTTTCCAGGTAGGTCTGTTCCCGGTCTCACTTGTGACAGCGCTTCTCACTGGGGCTCTTAATAGATCCTGCCTACTTTCTCCTTTTGATCTCAGCTTATTTAAGGAGTTGGAGAGCAAGCAGAGATTGCTTGTTTTTGTTTTAATTTATATTTACTTGGTACTGAGTGGCTCAAAACAGGGCCTTGCTCATGCTAGGGAAGTACTCTCCCATAGAGCAACACATTCAGGCTGCTTTATAAAAGAGAAGGCACTTGGTATATTTCAGACATTTTCTGTTGTGTGTTCTGAAAGAGTGTTTAAAGATGCTATCTTCTTGGGGGAAGATAAACAGACGAAGATCCAGCTCTGAAAGGCTGACTCCTTTCCTCCATCGGAGGGGAGCCCAGCAGAGCTTAAATAAGCCTGGCAGCAAGTCCTTCCTGTGATGGAGAGCTGAGCGGCATCCCCTCCCTTCCTCCTACCCATCCCACTGAGGTTTCCTTGTCTGGCACTGGTTCCCATTTACTTCTTGTGAATGCCTCCCATAGTAATGCTTGATCAGCTCTCTTAGGGCAAGTCAGCCTGACCACATGGCAGTGTGTGGTTGGAGATAGTAAAGCTTGTTTGGCTGGTGTGTTGTAATTTCGAGAATGCTTCAGCTGCTCCAAGCACAAGGAAATGTCCCCTGTTGATAATCCTCTGTTGTTCGGAGCTATGGATCTCATTCCCCGTGTGTTTCATAGTCCTTCCAATGGAAGAGATTATTTGTGGTTATGTTTAGTTTCCTGTTTGAATTGAGGAATTTTCTAAAAAGGGGGCCAAATGTGACTTGTACTGGTGTCAAATGGCCTGAATCAGCTCTTCTTCCTTTAATTTGTTAGTAGTGTTGTTAAGATGTGTTTTTGCAGGGAATGCCTGTATCAAGCACTAGATTTGGGGGAGGGGGCAGTGGAACATGTACTTTGGGGGTGGAGTGCCTTGCTTAGCCTGTGTGAGTCTTGGGTTTTGTCTCCAGCAGTGTGGGTGTGTGGGTGGGTATGTGGGTGGAGGTGGTGGTGCATGTAGTTTAGGGGTGGAGTGCCTTGCTTAGCCTGTGTGAGTCTTGGGTTTTGTCTCCAGCAGTGTGGGGGTGTGTATGTGTAACCCACATTTTGTACCTGGGAATGACATCTGTCAAGGACCAGCAGTGTTAGTGTTGGCACACACTGTGTGCAGGTTCTTAACAAATGACGATGTGAGTCCATAGCCCCAAGGAGCTCAGGCGTCCCTTAGCTTGTGGCCCGATGTCGGCAAAGGTGAGACAATTTCAATGCAGTGTAATAGCCACACGGAGGGGGTGAACAGAATCTTAGGAGTAGGGAAGTGGTCAAGTTTTTACTTTTCAGACCATGATCGTGGTCAACACCAGTCAGAACTGAAGCTGTGTGCTTGGGAGTCATTCCAGTTCAACGTTCATGTGTACAGAACCAGTACAGCGTTAGTGGCCTTTGGCGAGTTATACTTCTGGGGGTCCATAGTTTTTCTCCTCTTGTAAAACTGTTTAATATATTTTTGGTCACGAGATGTTTCTTAGTGACTCGTATTTCTTAAAGCCTTTCCTCTCTTAATTGACTCAGTCACTTCGTTTCCCACCTGCCTTGTTTCAAACCTTCTTGAACTCACACCAGACGTTGGCGGTTTAAAACGCACCACCCGTAGGGTGTTTCCTGAGGCCCATTTGAGGGCCAGATTTGAGTCCTTTTATGTAGATGAAGCCATCTTCAAATGAAGGAAAAGTAAGACCAGTAAACATTTGCAGCAGCCGGGCATTTGATTTTACGTATATGTTCACCTGCTTGTATGTCTGTGCGCCATGTGCCTGACGCCCACAGAGGCCAGAAGAGGGTGTGGGAGCCGGGAAGCATAGAGACATGCAGTTGTGAGCTGCCCTGTGGTGCTGGGAACTGAACCCAGGTCCTCTGTAAGAGCAACTGCTGAGCCATCTTTTCAGTCCCCAAACTGAGGATTTTTATATAAAAAGGTTTTATCTTAATAAATCAACGTACCTAAAGCAAATAGTTTGAGAATGATCAGAATCCACCCCCTTTCTTTCTTTCTTTCTTTCTTTCTTTCTTTCTTTTTTTGGTTTTTCAAGACAGGGTTTCTCTGTGTAGCTTTGCGCCTTTCCTGGAACTCGCTTTGGAGACCAGGCTGGCCTCGATCGAACTCACAGAGATCCACCTGCCTCTGCCTTCCGAGTGCTGGGATTAAAGGTGTGCGCCACTACTGCCCAGCTTCTTTCTTCCTTTCTCTTCCTTCCTTCCTTCCTTCCTTCCTTCCTTCCTTCCTTCCTTCCTTCCTTCCTTCCTTCCTTTCTTTCTTTCTTTCTTTCTTTCTTTCTTTTCTTGGTTTTTTGAGACAGGGTTTCTCTGTGTAGCCCTGGCTGTCCTGGAACTCATT